GGCCTTCCCATGGAGAAGACAACTTAGGAGACTTCCCTTTGGTCTTCCTGGGATTATACAACCACACCTTGTCTCCTGGTACTTCAGTAGATCTCTTATCATATCATAGCTTCATGGAATCAGCAGACGTTTTCAAGTCTGAACGCACCTGATGGTGAATATCATCCATCATTTCAGATAACACTTTCACGAACCGCCAAGATGACTGGGATGTCTTACTCCCTCCACTGTTGATGGCCTATAGAACAGCAGAGCATGAAACCACTGGATACACTCCAGCAAAGTTGATGTTTGGTCGGGAACTTCCGTTGCCAGTGGACCTCATAACAGGACACCCACCTTACGAAGTGTTGCCTGAAAATGTGCCAGAAGCTACTACAAAACTTTGCCAATTCCTGTCCCAGTGTCCAGTTGTACTTTTCTACCATCCCATCAGACTGTGGGGAAGTGGCGTTGTTCTGGTTTTTTATGCAGCATTCATGAAACACAGCAAGGCCCGGCATGGCCAGGTGGGTAGGACGCGCCCCCAATCCCACCAAACATGCTCGCCCTTTTAGCCGTGAGGGCGTTATAATGTGACGGTCAATTCCACTATTCGTTGGTAGCCCAAGAGTTGGCGGTGGGTGGTGATGACTAGCTGCCTTCCCTCTAGTCTTACACTGCTAAAGTAGGGGATGGTTGGCGTCAGGAAGGGCATCCGGCCGTAAAAACCCTGCCAACACCGAAAATAGCGACCCCGTATAGATACGGGAAAAAGCTACGGAAAAAGAAGATTCATGAAACACAGCTGATTCAAAGTTACGGCCTTGATCTGAATGCAGTTTATTTGGCATACCAAATCTGAAGAAGAAACCACTAATAGCCGAAGCTAAAGTTGTAGCTTCCTGATTTGGTATTGCATATGCCTTAGGCCATTTGGTGAAATAATCCATCACCACACAAATGTACCTGTTTCCAGCACGAGTTTGTGGCAAAGGACCAGCAATATCAACGGTTACTCTTTCCATTGGTGCACCAACTTGATATAACTTCATTGGAGCACGTCCCTTATGCTTGGGTCTTCTTTTAGCACAACATGTACTGCATGTCCTGCACCATTCTTCCACACCTTGCCTCATACCTATGCAGTAAAATCTTTGTCGTAGGTTATTCAATGTCTTCTTAACTCCAAAATGTCCTGCTGTTAAACTATCATGGGATTGATTTTCTCGGTGTGACCATTTGCCAGGTCGTCACTTTCCCATCTCCAGAGAAGAATACCATCTTCAAGCTTCAACTGGTCCCATTGTGTCCAATAGTTCTTTGTCACAGGGCTTAAGCTAGACACCTTCTCTGAAGCAGGGAGCAAAACACTTGCTTGTAGAAAATATATTATTGGCTTCAAATCATGGTCTTTCTCCTGTTCTGCTTTAATACGTATACCTGGTTCCAATTCACCATCATCAACTCCTTCAGTCACTTTGACTTCACCTTGATAGCACCTAATTAGTTCAACCTCTCTTTTAACACTTACCGGAATTTGGCCTTTGTTGTTCCCAAACGTCATTTTATCAAAGTTAACTACACACTTCCTTGGTAGTAAGTGGTCCAACTCTAATATGCATGGGTCTTCAATGTCAGGCAAGTATACTTTGTGTCTGTCCTTTATGCCCATGAGCTCCATAGTTACCCACATTGGTCCCCACAACTTTGTATAATGTCCTGTCACACCAAAGAGCTTCTGTATTGCTTCTGGTACTCCATTGTGATCCAGCACCTTGATACTCACAAGGGTTTGCTGAGATGCAGAATCTATGACAAAGTTGCACTTTTGGCCATCCAGCTTTCCTGTCACGTAGACACTGTGTGTGCTTGCCATTTTACATTTAGCTGTTGGGACTTTCACAGTGGGGGTTGGTGGGCGTCCCTCAACACCAACCACTACTGGTTTCCCCGAGGCTGACTTATTGGTAGTATTCTTCTTTCACTAGCTCGCCATATGTCCTTGCTCTCCACAGTTCCAACAACCTTTCTGGGTAGCAACCGTTCCTGCCATGGCATCTTCCCTGTGTTGAAGTTGCCAGCATTGAGCTTTCTTGTGCCCAGGTTTGTTACAGTACCAGCAAAGTCCCTCAAACCTCTCTGAGAGCTGTCCTATTCTGGCTTTGAATCCTGATGACTGTACCAACCTTGGTACCTCTGTGCTGGACTTAAAGTAGGATTCGAATTCAAGAGCTCTGGCCATTGCATATTGTATAGTAGAGAGGTGTGCTTGCTTTACTTGTATCTTCAGTTGTGGACTGTCCAAAGCGTCTACAAACTGATCCCCCAGCAACAGCTTGAGGACATCGGGTGGTGCAGTTGGGTAGGCCTTGTGTGCCATTCTTTCCAAATCCTGTGCCAGCTCTTGCAGGCTCTCCTCTTTAGCACGAACTCTCGTCCTAAACCTAACCCTGTAGACTTCGGACTGATTTTGAGTTCCATACCTGAGCTCTAAAGCAGCTACCAGTGCTTTATATTTGTGCCTGTCATCTGCTGACAACTGTCCAAGTATTTACAGTAGTTGTCCCTTCAGGATCGTTGCCAGGTACACTGCTTT